TGCTTGCTTGCTGCCTGGCTGAGCACAGGAAACGGAAAAAAATACCAAAAAAAACGGAAAAAATACCGAAAAAATAGGGCCACCAGGGTTTGGGCTCAGAACTGGAACAACCAGGATCATCAGAATCTGAGCCGGGTGCCGCGAACCTTCGTGATTCTCACGCCGTCCTCGAAGCCTTAGCACGCAGCTCGAAGGACCCACCCTCATCCTGGCACGCCACCATCCCGTCCCCAAGTCAACTTTTTGCTGCCAGCCGTAGCATCTGTAGCACGGAGCAACACTAAGCCATCAGCACAATGTAATCATTATGTAAGCCCTCTATCGATCGATCTATCTATCAATCTGTCTAATCTACACATCTATCCATCGATTCTATCTATGATTCCGTCTATCCATGCATCCACCGATCTATCCGTCTACGCACCCATCCATCCATTCATCTACGATATGTCTACACTTACTTTTGCCTCTGTATGTTCCCATACATGGAGTATGTATTTGTATGGTAGCTCCACTACACTCTGATGACCGAAAAGGATACCTGCAGCTCTCAGAGTTCCGAGTCGTGAGCGCCCTGTCACAGTGGCTTCAGAAGGTCGGAGTGCATGTTCAGGGTCTGACCAACTGGGGTCTATATAGAGATCCCACTTTTCCCAAGCCCAAGCTACGGTCTGTCTGGACAGGGTAGGAACCACTCCGAGCATGGCGAGAGCAAGGGGTGTCGGCCGTGGGATAGCCGAGGAGGTGCAGGGGAGCAGCCCCATCTACGAGTTGCATGGAGTCATATATAGAGGCGGGATGATCTTCCAAGCTGGTTTAGAACGTCGCAAGCACAGGCGTGATATAAACAGGGACACAAGAGCCAGATCGATACCGAAGTGTTGATGCTGAATTTCCTCGTCGCTGCTTCGATTCTGCAACAGACAGCGCAGCACATCCCAAACCCTTGCCCGAAAATCCTCGTGCTCGCCAAGTGCGCGGACAAAAATGCCGCGCAGCGGCAGCTGAACACCTGCGAGCCCCAGCCAAAGCTCACGGGCGAACACCGGTAAAGGCTGAGAACCGACGCCGACAAGTCCGGCCTACTTCTTCAATCTCGGGCCATGCATCCACGAGCTCCTGCAGTAACGCAGAGAAGTGCCGCACCCTACGCCCCTTCAGCCCTAAACCCCCAAGCCAAAACCCTCAATTCCTTGCGTCCGAAGCAAAGAGCACGCAAAAACACCCCAAAACCGAAAAAGCAACAGAAAGCCCCGAAGCCCCAAGCCATTCTCAGCACTCCTGAAAGCCGGCTTCTCCATCTTCGTCGCGGTCGGCGAAGTGCAGGATCTGAGGAGGTCGGGCTGGCTTAGGGTCTAGGGACGGGTTGAGGCCGAAACCTGGAGTTTTGATGCTACCAAGCGCTTTCCAATGCGAGGAAGCTGCACCATCAATGGCTTCCTCGAGGAAGAAGAGCCCGCTCTCCCAGATCATGAGCTCTTGTAGGTCGACAGAGCCATCCTCGTTACCTCAAGAAAAGCAGAAAAAGGGAGTCCGGGAAGCGCCAAGATTCTTCCCAAAAAGGGACGGCGATCTGTGCTGCTTGACCAACGCATGCACCGTGCAATCTCAGAGCAGAAGAACCTGGAAACAAGACAAGTTAGAACTCTGAGAAGAGTGACTATCCAGGGCGGCAAAGGTGACGTTGCGATCACGAGGGTCTTCATCGTGGTCATGGTCGTCATCCGGCCGCAGGTAGTCATGCCAGAATTCCTGTGCAGGGCTTGCCTTACCAAGCCTGCCTTCGCCTGCGTTGGATGGTGCTGCACCAGCCAAGAAAGCTGTAGGTCTCTGCCTTCAGCGAAAGCTTCCCATCCTGCAGGCAAGCCGAACGGCTCAAGGTGCCAACCCAGAGCCGTAACCTAAAGACCATCCGAAACGGAGCCCTGTCGGCCGTGACGTGGGGGCTGTTCTATCTACGAGCGCTGGCTCCACTACCAGAAGCAGTTCCCCAAGGAAGCCGCAGCCTTCAATCCGACCTCAAATCAAGGGGGCAACCCCTGGGCTTTGCCTTGTCCATATCTTTGACGGAGAGGGCCGACTTCGCCTCTGCTTCTAGGACTTTCTCGTCAATGCCGTGGCCATACATGGCCACCAACTCCTCTTTCTTCGGTACAGGCTTGAGTTCAAACAAAGAGTGAGCCTCTTTCAGATGGGTCAGGGATGTGAAGCAGCACTCACTGCCAAAGAGATGCAGGTGCTAAGGAGACAGGTCTTGGTCGTCTCGTCTCCTCACCCTGTAGCTTTCCGTCGCCATCGGCATCGGCAAGCTTGAACTTCTCCTGCGCGCACCCCGAAAAGTTGAAAACTCCGGCAAAGTCGCATCCACAAGTCGAACGAACAAACGACTTGAGCAAAGCGGTCCCGTTCCAAATTTCGAACTCTCTCCAGCTCTTGAGGAAATTCTTCTATTTCCCACCTGGACAGTGCGGGGCATTACGACGAGATCACGCAAGATCATGAAGCAGAACAAGCCACTCTAAACCTTGCATGCCGCATTCGCTGTCGTCCGGGCGACGTGGACATGTACTTCTCCAGCTCTTCCTTGCTTAGAGCGCCATCCTCAGCGGGTCTTCGACCATCGCTCCGCCGTGGGCTCTCTCCACATGCAAAGGCACTGGCCATAAAAATACCCATGATAACACATACGCAGCACGTACGTGACATAAGCATGCACCTATGCGCACAACCATATATGTCCATGTATGTATGTATGTATGTATGTATGTATGTATATATAAGTGTACCTACGTAAGTAGGTATGTATGCATGCATGCATCTTCTCAGAGGCAATCTGTCCTTGTCCAGGTCGGCGTTGGGATCCACCTTCGAATAGGTGGCCCGCTCAATTTCTTCCTTGTAGTGGGCCTCCGGGGCGAGTTTATGGAAACACGGCCCTCTCTCTGGAGCTCACCTCCGAGGGCCAGGCCGCGAAGTTGAAAAGCTCCTCGGTCCGACTGTGGATCTATATATATATATACACATATAAATATATAAATATGAATAAATAAATAAATATATATATATATAAATACATGGATGCATGCAGGTATCATATGAACGTATATAAGTATAAGTATCAGTATATACGGATACATAGATTCACTGATATGTGCCCGTACACAAAGATGCGGCTGTTTATGCATATACAGGTATTGTAGATATCGATACAGACACACATATAGACATAGATCGATGTACGTCTTGTTTAAGTGTACAGACCGGTATCCTACCTGGGAGCTTTATGCAGACGTCTAAGAGTTCTTGCACTCCCAGGCATCGTTAGTTTGAGCTGTGGGCCATGGGCCAAGGGGCCTCAAATTTCGATCCCCCAAAGGCCGGGACATGGAGAAAGGGAAGGCGCAGGCGGCCAAGATTCCGGTTTGGAGAGCTTCTGATCATCGTTGGCGTCTGCTTGCAAGAAGATATACCTGAGCAGAGACCAATACACCTGAATCCTAGGCTGGAAGCTGAAAGTGCAACATGGTTCGTCTAGGGTTTCGGGTTTCAGGGTTGAGGTTGCAATTGTCCCTATGACTCCAGTGGACGCCTGTAGCGAGACTTTCTGTGACAACCGCATGCCATGGGAAAGGCACTCCGTTGCAGTCCAGGTGCCACAGATCTGGCTTTGTCATCTCGCTTGTGGGTGAAAGCCTCAGGTCCTTCAGCAGCAAACAGCACAAGCAACGAATTGCACACGAGCTTTGCAATGTGTGTGCACTACAACATTCCGTATCATCGGGCTCAGCCAAGCCTATGCAAACATGATACCCTGCGCTTGTACGGTGCAGTGTTGCTATAGGCCTGTGCGCCCCGTGCATGCATCGAACACTTCCCACACCACGGCCAGGTGTCTTGCAGTGTTGCCCTATGTAGGTCCTTGTTGTTCGTTGAGGGTGTGGGCCTTGTGTGGGGTATATTGCAGGGTTCGCCTGCAATGCCAATTGAGTGAACTTCGAGGGGTTTGTCATGCCTGCCCCCTCTGGGCCAGGGTGGACCCGGGCGCAATCCATTGACATATAAGCATGCGTGCTTGGTTTGGAAGCGTTTAATGAGACATTCAGCTTTGGGCCTCCCCACTGTCATGATATTCGTTTGTGGTGCGTATGCCTTCGGCGAAGATAATAAACGCATCTACATGCCCACCCCGACCCTCCGAATTATGCCTCCTGCCTCTTCTTCTTCTCCTTCTGTCTCCGTCGGCTGTGCCACTGGCACAGGCTGCGGTACGGGGACATTTGCCTCTGACACAGGTTGCAGTCGAAGGGGATGCACGTAGCCCTTCTGGCGCTGAGTTTTTAGAGAACTTCGCAGATGCTTCGCAGTTTACCTCCACATGCAGCCTGCGTGCAGTTCAGCAGGCGAACCAGATCTAAATTCCAGGCCTCCGCAGCAATCTGCAGCACCGTGAGAGGCAGCAGCCCACAGAAAAACCACATGAGCATGGCCCGCGCTGGCCAATGGCTAACCACCAAGTGCTTCTGTGGTCTAAAAAATGACGCTGGAGCTTCTGCATGCTTCGATTCAGGTGTTCTTCTGCCGCAACCGTACACTGCTGCCAAAGGTTCGTATGTACAGCTGGCATGGCCTTCTTGCGTCTCATGCTTGTCAGTCCTTGAGCGGCAAGATAATCAGCAGGGGCCAGGAAGATCGGCTGTGGTCGACCGAGCACAGTGTACTAGAATGATTGACGATTCGAGGATGCGCAGTTTCAGGATCTGCCTGGGCATGCAAGTCTTCTAAAGTCAGCTGACCACGCCGTACTATATCTCTGCAGGACATGGAACCTACATGCCTCCCACCACACCCTGATCCCAGTACAACAACAACCACAACCGCAACCACAACGACGACGACTACCACTACGACGATTATTCGTACAACTACTGGTTTATTGATTATTTCTGCTGCTGCTGCCACTGCTGCTGTGACGGTTGCTGCTCCTGCTGCAGCCACTACTACAAGTACGACGACGATTACTTACGTCACGATGACGACCAGTACGAACACGCAAGAGCTGGAGTGATGGCTCGCACTCGGCAGAACCAACTGAATCGATGCCTGCATTACAAAAAACAGCTGACCCGAATCGGTATCGTTCTTTGTCGACGTTGTCTTGTATCTTCGAGCTCCGGCATTTTGCTTCTCAATTTCTGTATCTGCCATGCTTTCAATAGTCTTCCTCATGCAACGGTCGTACTCTCCCGAACGATATACAGGGAATCTCTGTCATGCGTGAATGTCGCTCCGAATGAATGCGACTTCTGCACTTCTGTCTGAGGCGAGGGGCTCAGTGCTCCAGCAAAACTCAAAGCACCTGCAGTCCCAGCAGAAGAAGGAAAACAAGCATGCTTTCGCTTGCACATCGAAGTTCCGTAGTAGGTGAGGGTAAGTAAGCTTTGAAGCGGCTGCGAAGCTGCTTCCATACCTGAGGATCAGGCTGTACTCCCCCAGCGACAGACCCATGGCCTCAGCTGACAGTATCTTCGCCTGTGTCGGCTGAGGGTTTAGGGTTCAGGGATCCATCGATCTGCCTGTCTATGTACCCATCTTGGGCTGCCTTCTGACTTTCCTGCATGTTCTGTCAGGTTTGCATCGCTATCCGTCTGAGAGCATTGCAGTCGGTGACAGGGTTTACTGCCGATATTTACTTCAGTATGTTATGGATATGCGAACCCTGAGCCCTCAATCGTAAGCATATGACACGTAAGCAAGCAAGCAGACACACAGTCTGACAAAGACATGAATCAAACAATGCACCACCACCACCACCAACAACAACAACAACGACGACAACAACAACAGCAAATAACTATTTATGTATCTATCCATCCATCCCTTTACATAAGCACGATCCGAAAGGGTCCAGTGCATGCACCCAACTTCGAATGCTTAGGCCGGCACAACCGTGGCTTCGTCGATAGCAGCAGGGTCCTCCAGCCGAAGCTTTTCCACCGCCGCCTGGGTTGTGCTTTTTTCGAGCTCCTTTTTCACTCTCCAGACCGCACTCCGAAGGCCTAGTAGGCCAGGAGACACTCGGCCCCCTTTATGCACCTCCACTTACAAGGAGGAAAAGCCAGGAAAACCTTTTCAGCATCGCAAACCTTCGAACCTAGAACACAGAACATCAGAGCAACATGCACCGAATTGAGCGGACACAAGGTCTCGTCGAGAAAACAAGAAGTACTTTGCACAAGCTTCCGCATCGCCGGACCCTCTGAGCAAAGAAGGCTGCCTCGGCAGGCCGTCACGGGCCGAGGAGCATGGGCTCCTGCCGTCGCAGGCGCCAAAATGGTGGTGGCCCACTGTACTTGGTCAGTTTCGGCAAAATCATCGGGCACCTGTCTCTTACGAATCTGGCGAAAGTGGAATTCAGGAGCATTATTGAGGTGTGCCAGCCACAAATGCACCAGTCTTATCTCATCCCTTGGAGGCATCCTGACGGTCGTGTCGTTCTGAACGGGTACCAAGATGACATGTGCCTGGTAACCATCAAGAGGCTCCGTGTCCATCAGCAACTTGTTCCTGCCACCTTCGGGACTGACACATATCTCATCAATGGGGGTAGATGCCAAAGTCGTATGCACCTCGTCACCCTTTCGGGTCCGGAAGGACCCATCGGTTCTCCGGAATGGATATCGCCCTGTAGTCGTGACTCCCGATAGTCCGATCCATGTAGGTGTTGATACTAGGATACTGTGGGGTCAAATCCACCCACGCGTCGTTGTGCGCAACATACCTTGCCAGACCTTTCGCACAAGCAGTGATTCTCCTGGTGGAGCAGCAAAGGGCTCCGTCCACGGCCGGTGATATCTTCGAAATATGATCTGACCAGGACCAATTTGTTGTTGTTGATGTAGGGCCGGAGCACATCTTCGATCGGGGACAAGTCATCGTCCCCCAAGTACATCAAGACTATGTCGAAGCCGAAAAGAAGGCTGTGTTCCACCCAATTCTTGATGTACGATGCTTTTCGGCTCGTACACGACTCCGAGTGCGGGCAATCGAGTGAGTGGAGCAGCCAAGGTCGCGGCGTCAGTCAAGGCAATGCTTTCCGAGTTTGAGCCGACGGGCAATGTATTTCAAGTCAAATCAAGACTTGGAACGCATTGCCCGTCGGATCAAACTCCTTTCCATCCTCGAACAAAGGTGCTGCTTGCAATTGTCACAGTTCATGCGTGGGTTCTTTTCAACGTTCAGAAAAAATTCGGGTCAACGTCTCCAGGCTCTGAGGGAGCACTTCTGCGATCAATTGCTGGTTGAAGTCGTCCCCGAACGTCAGGTGAGCGTTGCAAGGGACGATTGAAATCGCGCCCCATATCCAGTGTCCTAAGGCCCTTCGGCAAGAAGTGTGGATCTAAGGTTCTGGCAAAGTTTCAAAGAGCATCTGCTTCTTCCCGGCGGTGAACCCCACACCATCCAGACGCTTACCTTGCAGTCTGATCTGGATACACGCAAATTGGTTGAAAGGGTGCAGAAGCGCATCCATCAATATTAGGCCCGCATGGCTTGCTGCATCTTGCCCGTCAACATATTTCCGCTCCATGCGGTAAAGCCTGCCGCTAAAGTCATGCTTGCACGATGTCATATAGTCATGTAGCAAGCTTTCTGGCAGGCGGTTCGTGGTGCTCAACGTATTGAAGTGGCCGACACTTGTCACAGCACCAGAAGACGAGCTGCTTGTGCTCATGAACAGGCTCTCAGCGCTCGTGCTGACCGCGCCCATCTCCACATCCACAGGGCAGTGCAGAATAATAATGCAATGGCAGTAAAACCCGCCCAAAAACAGATGCCACGAGTCGGCGCATGGCAGGGTCTAGAGTCTAGGGTTTACATACGTCGAATCACCAAGTTATCCGTCGGCCTGGGTTTAGAGACTAAAGGTTTAGGGTTTAACTCCCAAGGTTTGGAGCTACCCTGCTGAACTGTGGACGTTGGTTTTTGGCTTCGGCATGTGGCATGCGCAAATCGTATTAAAATACTCTGATGGACGTTCACACTGTGTTAGAACGCCTGGAACCGAGGATACACTCGCGATAGTAGGGTTCATGTTTTCAGAACCATTCACAGGGCACCCCTACTTTCCAGAAGAAGCAAAACGAGGGACACCTGTGGAAAAGTGGGGCTTCCCCTTGGGTCCGGACCATGGATGCCACGAAGATCGCAGGTTGAGAAACGGCAGTCTTGTCGAGTTCCTGCCGATGGCTGGACATCACTTCAAGACTTCAGAGTTTCTCCACCTAAATTGGATATGAAATAATATAGTATAATATAATGGGGTTAAGGATGATGTAGGGTTCCGTCAGCTTCACTCCGCAGGCCTCCTTGGGGCCGTTCACGCAACGGTCAAGCAGGTCATAGCCTCCCGGCGTTTCAGAAGACACTTCGAGGAATTGGGAAATGGCCCACCCCATCCGCTCCTATGATGTCGCTGGCGGTCTCAAACCTGAGGACATCCGTTTCTTGCAGGTTGTCGCCTCTGTTGGTCTCTGTCAGCTGTGTCTCTGCATGTCTTGAGATCTATCTCGGAATGGTTCAGCCATCACGTACCCCCGACGTGCCCTAAGCCTCCAGACCCGAAGCCCGAACCATAAATCCTAAGCTTTTTCCAGAACCACCTCAGGGCGCGACATCTCCTTTGCCTTTGGAACCTCGCGGAACTAAGCACAGGCCGTTGCAAAGAAAACCACACCTGGGAAGACCCAACTGAGAACCAGCAGCATTTGCTTTGTCATCCCGCAATATCTGTCTTTTTGATTCTTGCAGGGCTTAGAGGCACGTCCCTGTATGCGGAAACGCCCTTGGTCAGTTCCAGCATATCTCTCTCGCTCTTTCACTACGTGCGTGTATATCTGCACGAACATAACCTGTAATTCCATGTATGCATGTTTGACATGTGAGCATCGGTTCATCTGCTTCGGATCCGACTCCTTATCAACAAAAACCTCGCAATGCATGCGCAGCGGCCTCATCCGTCAACTCCTTGCACATGCCAACGGTTTGAGCCCCTTGGCCTGCAAAGCCAAGTCAGGCGAGCCGCAAGAGAAAGAAGGAGACATAGATGTAGAGGTACACAAACAGAAGCAATCAACTCGGGCTTCAATGCTGAACGTGCGAGACCCTGGGCACCCTGAAAATCCTTGAAACCTGAACCTTAGAACAAGTCGCCTTCAAAAGCCCCCGGGCCTGGAAAGAAGAAGGCCGTTTTGTAGGAAAACCCGGCAAAGTCCTCCTGGCATGCGGGAAGACGTCACTCGAAGGCCAGACAGAGACACCTCGACTTCTGGGTGCTTTGAGCTTGCGGAGACTTTGGCGGAGTGGGTTATGCGCTGGAAGCAATCGCGTTCCTTCACTGAGGCGCCAGCACTTTTCCAACTGCGCGAGCAATGCGACTGTTCAAAGGTGAGTGCTCATTCATGATCTTTAAAATCACGAACGCACCCCGGGGTCGCACGCGCTCAGCAGCATGTGCAGCTTTTGACACAATTTTCCGAGCCATGATTTCGCTGGCTGGATGGCTAGATCCTGAAACATGCAAGGCGAGTAGCCATAACATCCAGCATCCGATCATCACGAGCAGACCTGCTGCACTTCTGCAAAGCCACAGCTGTGCGGAGGATCCGCCAGGCTTCTGGTACCTGAACATGTGCAACGGTTCATATAGGGCTTAGGACTTGCAGAAGTTAGCTTCGGTGATTTAGGGCTTGCAGGCTCCTAGACATTCCAAGCCCTAAAGCCCCTGGGCCTGCTCGTCGGGGTTGCACGCGGCCACCTGAGCTGCCTCCACGATCGTGGAAAAGTATGACTGGGTGCTGGCGGTCGGGACCAGGCCGGGAGTACCGCAGGTGTCTCGCCTGCAAGTCTTGAGTTCTACGACCCTTATTTTCTGGGTTCTTGCTAGGGGATTTAATTTAGGTTACCATAATTAAAGAATAAAGAAACCAGATTATTTACTATAGATCCCCATTATGGTAACTTCCCAGACTGCCCATTTTTCCGGTGTCGGCCCCTGACCTTCCCTGCAGACAAGGCTCTGCAGCTTCCTCAGAACGTCATTGGCCAAGTCCTTGATCTGTTGGATCTCGTCCACCCGCTGTGACCAGGCTTGCGTGGCTGCAACTCGAGCGATGAATTCAATCCTCCGGAACTTTCGGGAGGCCACCTGCCTGTTCCAGGCCGCCTCCCACTGTGGCAATCTAGTATTAACTTGGTCGCGTAGGCCTTTGCAGGTGTTGAGGAGCAGAGCGGTCTGTACACCTAAACCGACTCCCAGCCACTGAAGAACGGGCGGAGACGTCAGCAGTTCCAGCCACACAACCATCTCGTTCAAGCCTACTGAATTCGAGGCCGCCTGGAAGCCAAGACAGCACGCAGGACGAGCCTCCAAGAGACAAGCACGAACACTCTTGGCAAACACCCTTGTCTCTTAAGCAAGCCTGAAGACACTTCACACAAACTTCCACCCAGTCTTGACCCCTCCGGAGCATATGCAAGAAGTCCACCATTGAAAGTGTCGGAGGCACGTCTCCAGCACGTCGCGCAACAGCTGCTGCGACCTTGAAAGCAAGGCTTTCCAGAGCGAGAGGCACTGTTTAAGGACTTTAAGGGTTTATAAAGTTTTATCGAGTTTTTTATTTTGTGTTTATAGCGGTCTGCTCGGGTAGGTTTATATGGTTTTCAAGTGGTTTAGCGTTTATAAGGCGTTTAGGGCTTGTAGAGTCAAGGGGCAGGTAGCCCTACCTACACTCCAGAAGTCGCCAGATGACTCACCTCCCTCACGTCCCTAACACACACATACACACAGACACACCCACGCAGACTGGGGACTTTTGGGTTCTAGGGTTCTAGACTTGGGGGGCATCCCTTCTGAACCCACCCGGCAACGCCAAGGGCCATCAAAGCCACGACTTTGATGCAAACCATCATACGCCCTTACCGTCACAAACACTTCATGCTAGACTCTGCGCAGGTATATGTATGTAGGTATGTAGGTACATACGTACATGCATATGCATGTACATATATATATAGACACACATAACATGCATATGTATCCATCTACATATATATGATGTGTATATACATAAGAGAAAAAAATATATATGAATGAATAGTATCATATGAAGATATGTTGAATTGTCTGAGAAGTGTGAACGGTGCCCCGAGGCTCCCACAGCGACGAGTCCCAGTGTCGATGCCACGAAGGCCTTACAGAGGAGACTGGTCGAAGAGAGGGGACAGAACTCCATGGGTTTCGGGCAATTCAGGGTTTAGGGCAGGTACAGTATTGAAATCTGAGTCTGGGGCTATTGCAAGATAAACAGACTTTATGAGTTTCGTTTTTAGGATCTTGGATATTATGATATGTTTGGCATTGTTTGGCCCTTCTTCATTTCAGTGAATCAGAGCTTGACCGGATTTGGAGGTCTCTTTCCATCTCGGAGCGACTGTATGCTGTGACCACCTTGCGGCTCTCAGCGAAGTGTTGGGGATAATGCGAATGACCTTCTGTTTGCTAAGGGCTCAAGAGGTGGGATGAAAGGTGGGGGAAGTCCAAAGATGAGATCACCTGCAAGGGATCCTAAGCATCCGAGGATCCCCCCACTACCATGTACCTGATTGTCAGCTGCTTTTTAGGTCAGTTTCGAACCAGGCCATGGCCGCCCTTCCTCGCCCCAAGAAAATTTCCCGAGTGTGTGACGCTGCTGCCCCAACTCTCGGGTCGCGCATCAGGGGATCCTGACGAGAAAGATGCCCCACGTTCTAGCGAAGATGCTGCAGCTATTCCTCAACACTGGAGGTTTGGCGTGCAGAGCTTGGCTTCTAGTTCTACAGGTGACTACTCGGGAGACTCCACCATGACCTCGTCTCTCAGCAAGCGGGGATCTGCGTGGAGCTGCGCGAGGCGCATGCGGCACGCAGAAGGCAGTTCCTGATGTCGCGGGTCGCAGTGAGGATTTGACATCACATGCAGTAATCAGAACCTAGAGGCCACTCAAAAGGTGTTGAACCTACCAGTACGAACAGACGCATGCGCACCTGCCACGAAGAGTGCTGCGAGCACCCGTGCAGGCCTCGCCATGACCTGCTGGGCGCAGCTGGCTACAGTCGACTTTCGAGTCTGTTCCCGTTGCTAGCCCGGTGTCGGCTGCCTGAAAATGATGGCGCGAGAAACAAGAGGGTAGGACTGGGAACTCAACCTAAGCAACCTCCGCGCCAAACGCTCCCACAGGCAGAAACTTGTGCATCAGATATGTGAATCCACGGTAAAAGATCTGCTCGGATCTCCTAGCCGCCTAGCCCTCGTTCTTAGGATCCAGAAACCTCCACATGCAGGCATCAGAGACGAGTGCGACCGATGCTCTGCCACATAGCAGGAGCCAGTTGTACTTTATGCCGCGGGCAACATACCGAACCCTGCTCACGATGGCAAGCAAATCTGTATTTCCACTCTTACTACACATATACTTCTGTTAGATCCACCTTTTTTCGAGCGCCCCTTGCCGTTCTGAGGTCATCCAGCCGTCTGCCCGAAACCAAGCTTCTCCGACCCGGACTTCTCGCATGGTTCCTGCTTTTATGATCACCTCTGCCAGCATTGTAAGGACTCCTATGTCACCTTCTTAAACGCGGGCACTCCGATGTGTCGAATATAGGGGTCCGAAGAAGTCCTATCCTTATCAGTCTAAAGCATACCCCCAGAAGCCTATTCCAATCATGAAGGCCCCATGAAGGCCCCCCACATTAAATCCGACAGAGCCCTATTTCCTGTTCTTAAGCCCCCTGTGTCAAACGATGCATGCTGTTTCTGAGTATTGCGCTGAAGCCCCGAGCAAGGCAGCTGAATCAGCTGTCGCATTAACAGGTCGCGACAGGTGCAGTCCCGTCGTAACCGGTGAGTTCCGGGGACCCATCAAACCTGCTTCATATCATATGCTCTTCTGATTTTGTGGATTCAGTGCCTTTGGGGATCCCCGGATCTTGGATTTAGTAGGGGCCTCCCCTCCCAGAGTCTCAGTAGGGCTGGAAGCGTTCGGAGCTCTTGGATTTGCTCTCGGCTTCTGGCGCCGGGGCCCCGGTGCTGGCGGAGCCGGGAGCTCCACTGCCACAACCTGGATGCGGGCTGTAATGCTACTACTATTCATTAAACTTCAGATTCAATAGTATGATTGGAACTTAGAAGTCTTGAGGTTCTTCTTCTTCTTCTTCTTAGTCTTCTTGCTTTTAAATTGGATATTGCTGGCGTGGTACTTTGTGATGTCGTTTATGTCGGGTTCTCTTGTGACGAGCTGCTCGGTCCACCTGACGTGCCGCAGGATCCTCCACACCCAGTACAGCTGTTGCACGCGTTGCTGCTGCCCGCACTGCAGCTGCTGCCACCGCAGCCCATGCAGCCACAGCCGCTGCAACCTCCACATCCTGCGCAAGGACAGCCGCCACAACCACATCCCCCACAGCACCCACCGCAGCCAGGACAGCAGCCGCAACCACAGCCGCAGCCGCCACAACCGCTGCAGCCGCCGCATCCGCAGCCACCGCAGCCACCACAGCCACTGCAGCAGTTGCCACAGCCGCCGCAGCTTCCACAGCTGCCGCCACCGCATCCACAGCCTGGACACCCGCAGCCACCACAGCTGCCGCAGCCCGGGCATCCTCCGCACCTCAGCATTGACAGCTGCGCTACAGACTAGAAAGACTTGGTCGAAAAGGGAACGACAAAAGCCATGAAGCGCTTTGTTTTATCTCGGCTGAGCTCAAGACCCACACGGGCCGCCGCACGCACAGCCTGGGCACCCACAGCCAGCACCACAGCCGCAGGCCCCACAGGGTCCACAGGCACCGCAGCCGCCGCAACTGCCGCAGCCGCAGTTTCCGCAGCCGCTGCAGCCGCCGCACCCGCAGCCGCCACTGCATCCGCAGCTGCCACAGCCTCCGCAGCCGCCGCAACCGCCACTACAGCCGCCGCTGCAATTTCCGCAGCCCATCATCATGGGATTCATGCCTCAGTCGGGGACGACTTCGCTTTCCAAGGCACCTCCGATACATCTTCAAGCCTCGAAAGCACAAAGCTGTGGCAGAGCTTCGAATCCTGCCTGTCTGCCCTGCCTATCCACGGGAAGCCCAGAAACAAAAGCAACCATGCAGAAACGCGAGTCGGTCCAAGCTGCCCATCATCATGGGCATCATACTCATCATTGCCTCGCGGTCTACGGAAAGCTGTTCTTCACTGCGGCTAAACGGAACCCCAGTCATGAAAGAAGAGTACGCACCAAGTAAGCCTAGTCAGCTTTGTCAGCTGGGACTTCGCTTTTCCCTGCCGAGCCCAAGAAGCCACATCCAAGGCCTTCATCATGTTTCCCATCTGGTTGGAATCTCCGTCTTTGGCTTCTTTGCTGGAGGATTCGCCTTGGCATCTTCAAACTTATTGGGGGCCAAGGCCTAAAGAGCGTGGACGGCTGGGGTTTGATGTTCGTGAACCGAGGGTTCGGGTTAGGGCTTCGCAGGTTCGATGGGCACCTTGGCGCCTGATTTGGTTTCGTCGGCTTTGGACCTCGGGTTTTCCTACAATCCTGAAATCGAGGGTTTCTCAAAGTGGGGGGGGGTCGGTCCTAATCGTAAGGATAATTTTCCGGTGGTTCTACCTAGGGATCCCGACTCCTAAAGGGCATCTCCTGGCAAGCACCCCCAAAGACTTGTCAACAGCTGCAAAGGACTCACTGGCACTGCAGCTCGATAGGGCTAAATGTTTAATGTCGGGGGCCTAAACTTACAATTGGATTTTGCGGCATACTAGACTAGGCCAGTATTCATGACAGGGACTATATGGGGCAGTAACAGCTCCAACCCCTTCGTTAACATTGGGGTTCTGGACTTACCGATTCTAGCAGGATCAAGAGCTCTTGGTTCAATGAGACAAGCTTGAGCAAAGGCACTGTTGCCCGATCCTTGTTGCATGGCAGCTGCTGCCTGGACCAACACGATTGCACTATCTTGTGCTTTATCAGACGATACCATGTGAAACTGAGTTACAACATATGCAACATATGACATCGTGCTATTCTGGTCGCAAATCTTGTTGTACCATGTTCTACTGTAGGCGCCGACACGGAGGGACCGAGCGACGGCAGACAAGCTGTGACATCCGACACCAATGCCAACGTGGAAGGGAACGGTTTGAGGTTGCGTCAAGTGGTGTCACCGTATAATGCCCAAACTAGACCTTGTGCTTTCAATCGTTACACTCCCTCCTCACCCACAACACAGAAAACACAACACAAACGCACACAAAGAGGCATCGCACCTGCAGATACTTCTCGGCGAAACCCGACTCATAGTCTTCATGGGTATCTTTGGCCTTGACATAGGGGTTCAAGTTTCTCAAGACCAGGGGTCCCTGACCCTTTGGGGTCCCAATGATAAGGCATCCAGGTACAGCGGTGCGCAGAGATCCTCCAAGACGCTGCGCAAATTCCTCTGTCAGCAGCCCAGCCTCCTCCTTCTCTTTCTTCGCAGGGGCATTGTCACGTGGATTCTGGCCAAGGCTCGGAGCTGATAGGGGAAGTTACCGATGGGTTTCTGGCGTTTGGGCAGGAGACGGGCACCTCGAGTTGACCCGCATAAGACCGCGGTGACATGCTGTATTCCAGGCCTTTGGGACGGCAGCTACCTGGGGCTTCACGTCCACCCACTTGTTGTCAATCCTTGAAATGCAAGCTTGTTGGTGCTCTTGCAGCAGGGAAGCAGGCTTTTGGCGCAGCCAAGGGTCATGTGGCTGGAGTGGGCTTCCAGAACCTTCGCAACGGATGCCTGCAAGGGAATCAGCCGAGAACTAGCAAATGCGATTCATGAGTCGTCTGCATGATCATGATCATGATCGTCATCACCATCATCATGACAAAACATTCCAAGAATCAGAGTAGTAGCAGCTCACAGAACCCCTATGCCAAAGTGAAAGCTCTCCGGACTCTTCTGTGGCTCCCGGTGATATAGTAATATCGTGGATAGCAGCTCCTTCTCCGCAAAGGTCACGAAGGCAAAGCCACGAGAAGTTCCATCGGGCTGCTTCTTGATTTCAACGTTGGTCACCTTTTCATGAAAAACCACCTTCGACTGCTCTCCGGTACAATGCCAAAAAAGCTTCCTCGCCTGGCCGAACTTGGCGAAGTGACCTGCCACCTTGTCCTGCAAGAAAGGACTCGGACTCGAGGCTCCACGAGGCACGACCCTGGTGTAGATGATTCTAACTATATGATGGGTAGTTCTCTAAAGTAGGGTCCCCTTTTAGGTCTCCAGTATAGCACGGAACCCTTACAGAAAGGACCCTAAAAGGGAGCGTAATTTAGAGAACTACCCATGTCTCCTCTGTGGTGCTCTTGCGCAGCCCACCAACGAAGATGGTGTCCTGCAGACATCTTCCCCCAAGATTCAACAGCGTGTTTAGCAGGGCTTGAATGCAAGACCCCAACCCGAGGTCTCTGACTGTGTGAGTCCTCTCGGCCTTCCTTGACGAAGCCCTTCCCGCCACCATCTGATCAAGACACCAGAAAACAGAAGCCAATAGTATTCAATAGTAACTGGGCAGTGCCGAAGGACAGGCAAAGTCGTCCCTCTCCCTCTTTACGGAAGATGGCGCCTGGCATTGTACGATTTGGTCCTGATGGACCCGACTGCACCGACAGCTGCGATGCTTATGACGTTAGGGCCTGCTGTTGTGGTGTACTGCTGGGCTGGAGGTGCTTGTGGAACCAGCCTACCGTACATGTTCCCTGACCTTCACTTTCGGCACAATAATATCATCTTCACCAGAGCCTCTTGAGTGTAATTGCTTCCTCTGACTTCCCGTTGCTCTTGTCTCTGCCATGGCACCTTCATGAATGCTGGAGCCGTACAGATCAGAGGCGCGAACGGCGTACCCGACTCGGGCAAAGCTAGAACCGAACACAAAACAGCGAGCTGCAGCTGTTTGATTCGAGTTTGGGGCAGTTTTGGGTGTAGTAAAGGCTTCAGTATTCAGCGTTTACAGCGTAGGCTTTGATGCCTCAGTGGGCCTCACTGATGCTGCTGCAGATTCTTTTCACGCTGTGGCTGAGGTGTTCAGACACAAAACGCCCACGAAAGCCACCCCCTGACCTCACGAGACGTTTGCATTACATCTAGCGACCCCTTTTTTTATATCCCCAGGCTAGATGATTGCTAGAGAACTAACTATGCATATGCCTCCCGTCATCTGTACTTCTAAGAACTGACTTTATCATATTCCTTGACCCGCACCGCGCCTGTTTGGGGTGTTCGAGCTTTGGCATCGTCGATAGAAGCGTCGTGTAAAGAAAAACCTCCCCTCAGCAAATGGACGAAAACAGCTTAATACGCACCATCATTGCTACATCTTGCTACTATCGACCAAGAACAATAATGTGCCGTTGTTCGAGGCTGTTCGCCGTTCAAAGCTCTGCGATGTTCACATTACAGAAATGCGACAACCGCTGAGAGGAATGCACGACCCCTCTCGGGCAATGCCCATTTAAAAGACTGGCGCGCTGGAGCAGAGTGAATGATGGTCGCCAAAAGCTGCTCTGCCAAACGACAACCATGCTGATCTTTCTGGTGCTGGTAATTGCTGCATCTCTGCTGTGTAAACCGTTAAGCATCGATCATAGAAACTCTCTGCACGTGCCAGCCAATAAGTCCTACGAGTGCCACTGGCTGCAGAGCTACGCGAGCTTGAAGCTGGTTTGGCTTCTCATTGTTATCAATAGCTCTATGCTGAGCCCTGCCCTCAGACATCTGCAGTCTCCTTCTTAGCCCAGTTGTACCCCTCCCAATCCTCGTCATCCTCTTTAGCCTCAGAGTCCCAGGCTTCGGGATCCTCCGTAGTCTTCTTTCCATTCGGCTCGGACTTCACTCTCGTGAACCTGGGCTCCAGCTCAGGGTTTTGGGTTTAGGATTTTAGGGGTTTAGCGGTTTAGACTTACTTCAAGCTACAGTCATAAGGAACCACCATGCATGACTAAAACAACATAGGTCAACAAACGACCAAACCCCTCACAACAAGACCATGACCTTAGGCACATCAAGAATCCGTCAAATACACAAAAATATTGTGTATGTATATTTACAAAAAGAAAAAACCAATTCCCCAGCAAGAACCCAGGAACTTCCCCTTCCTTCTCCTGTCTTCGTCCCCCTCCGACTTGACGAGCCAGGTGCTCCTGCACGAGTGACTACTCCTACTACTACTACTACTACTACTCCTACTACTCCTACTACTACGACTGCTACGACTACTACTAC